GCCGAAATCAAGGCGTCAAAAGCTCACAAGGCCCATAGCCAACGCAAGATGTTGAGAATTGGTCATTTGGGTCATGACATGACCTGAAAAACAAGGTCATATCTCCGAAACCAAAAACCACGGAAACTTGAAATTTTCAGTGGACATCAAGAAAGGACAGAGGAGCAGCTATACGAAAAATCAGGCTTCTACCTTTAAAAATGTTGAGTGCAGAGCAGAAAGACTATCTGGGGGTGGCAACCCTCCCCCATGTCCGGGCGAGGGTTAACTTGGCCAAAAAGGAGGTGTCGATCTAAAATTTTGTATGTAGATAGAAGAGGGTAGGGACTTTTATATATATTCCGTTTTTCGAAATCGAAAAACTTACAGGATTTTTTTGCTATTTTATAAAAAATAGTTTTTGATTTTGGGGTCAAACTCACAAAAATTTGAAAATCCGAGATAGCATATTTGTAGTGCCGTCTTTTTTTTCTACACGACCATACGAACTTTGACAATGCTTGTTTAACTGTAGCTTTTGTGAGCGTTTCAATATTTCATGTTTTTTGCTCATTTTTGCTCGAAGATCACCTCTGTTTGACCTCAATAACTCCTGACCTAATGTGACATATGACTTGAAATTTTGTACGAAGGTTAAGTTGATGTCTCAAAAGGTACAAAAAATTGGCGGCGCTGCACGTCGCCGTTTTTTCGCTATTCAAGAAAAACCACAGGGGGAGGGGTACCAAAATGGCTCTACCATCAGGGCGCAGGTTAACCCTCGCCCGCACATTGGGGGGGGGGGTGTCGGTTACCACCCCCAGGTAGTTTTTCTGCTCTGCACTCATTATTTTTAAAGCTAGAAGCCTGATTTTTCGTATAGCTGCTTCTCTATCCTTCTTAGCGTCCACTGAAAATTTCAAGTTTCTGTGGTTTTTGGTTTTGGAGATATGACCTTGTTCTTCAGGTCATGTCATGACCCAAATAACAAATACCTAATATCTTACGTTGGCTATGGGTCTTGTGAGCTTTTGACGACTTGATTTCGGCCTTTTTTGCCAGGTTTACCTTCCACCTATCATAGAACATGTTGTTCAACGATGTACAGATGTCAGGGTCAGGGTCAAGTCATGGTCAACCTAGGTCGTCTAAAAGCATTGCGTTTTAGGAAGCTGAATTTACTTTTCGAAGTTTCTTTGATTGTATTATTGGTAAAAGCTTCTCAGTTCATGATCTCATGTAATAGGGACACATAAACAGTCGGTGTACCTACACATCAGTATACACACAGACACACATTTCCGTGGCGCTCTAGCTCTATTGGTTTCCGAGTTAGTCCTCAGGTGTTTCAAAAATTGTTGAAATAGACAAAATTTGACATTTGACTCTGGTGACGTGACTTTTGACCTGACCTTAAAAATTATCAAAGCATTTCCGCCATCATTTTTGACGCTCTTTCGATTGCCGCATTACCGCGTGTCACTACGTGGCCCAGGAGCCGAGTCAGACGGGAGGCGTGAAAACGCCCCCCCCCCCAGCACGACACGGAAAATTCAGGCCACCAGCACGGCGCTGGCTAACATTATGAATATGATTTATTTGCCGTGTATTACCTCTTTGCACCCCACTAATATTGGTACACGATACTTTTTCAGACACATTTGACATTTCCATATGTTTATAACATTGTATGTTCCTCTGTCTCATTACACTAGGTATGGGGCATAACACCATTAAAACATCTTTCGTCCTATGCACAACATTAACCTGCGAGTTGCTGGAGGGCTTAAACGCCCCCACTTTTTTCGCCGGGCCATAGCATAAAAACGGCGCGCCGCAGGCGTGCCAAATTTTGGGTACCTGTAGGGAATTGATTGAAGTGTATTGTGACAAAGTTAAAAAAAATCGGTCCCAAAGTTTTGAGATATCGAAGTTTTAGTGACGTCATGATTTCTGAGTTTTCGACCAAAAACGGCATATGTTCAAAAAATCATATAAAATCTTAGAATAGACATACAGACATGCCGTAAACGCCATTAGACTGCCAATAACATGAACAATCAAATGGCTATCTTCGATTATTTATTATCGTTCCGCATTTTCCAAAATCGTGAACTGAATCTTGGCAATTTCTCGTGACTACTTCACGACCATGATACATGCATTTCTTAACCCTCGCCGGCACAGGGGGGGGGATGCAACCCCCCCATAAGGTTTTTCGCGAATAACTCGCGTAAAAAGCGGCCGATCGCGACGAAACTTTCAGTACCCTCGCATTGATCAATTTTACACCTACCCTGAAAATTTAATGTCCCTGACCCAAATGACCTTTGACCTGTGACCTCTTTTCCGAGACCATGTTTGGACGGAATCGCGATTCGTCGTATGTCGGCTCGCATTAGCCGTGCGTTTGCAAGCTTTTCGTGGTTTCATACGTTCAAACATGTGATTTGATGTTGCTCCCATACATTAGGGTGGGTGTCAAGGTCACCTGAAGGTCAGGTCAGGTCATTGACCTTTGGTGACCTCGGGTGACCTCGGTTCACTTTTTCGAGTTTTACATGTTTCTAGGCTAGTTTTTGTAGCTGAATTCGAATTTAGCAACCATTTGAACATTTACGAAGTAGTTTTGGTGCCTTCGTTACATGTTACGAAGCTGTCAGAGGCGGTTGACACGTATTACGAATACCCGTCACAACCCCTACCGGTTGACCTGACCTGACCTGACCCGACCTGGTCTAAATGCTTAAAGACATCATCTCTGATCAAAACTAACACGATATTTGTGATCAGCACCCCGGAAAACCACGTAGCAGCCACACTTTACGACTTTCTGACATGTCCCGATTTTCCCGGTTTTCGGGTCATTGACCCGACCTGGAAGGTCACCCGATGACCTAGGACCTTAAAATTGGGTATCATCGGCTTCCTCTAGTGACGGGCAGCACGCTCGTTTTTTCTGCGAAGCTCTAGCTCGATCAGGGGCCAAACGCGAGGGGGGTCGTACCAACCCCCCCTTGTGCCGTCGAAGGACGCAAAATGGCCTGTGCCGGCGAGGGTTAAATTGAACTTTTTGAGCCAAACACATACACATAATCAATTTGCTGATGTTTATTATTGCCTCGTGCTTCATTTGCACTTATATTGCATCTTTCATGATTCATTTTATGCATCAGGTATTTTAGCTCACCTTTATCTTTCTCCATTTTATAGAATAGTTGGGAACTGCGTGAGCTGTGACGCGACAGGTACGATGTTTACAATGTTTCTTATACTGTTTAATTGTTTTCATCTTAACTTCGCCTGTCAGTGGGGCTTGTCCCTGTTGGTGATTTTGGTAAATAAACAAAACAAACAAATAAACAAGATCTTCAGATGACCTAGACACCTACCCTAGTGCATGGGGTCAACATCATATCGCATGTTTGAACGTTTGAAACCAGCAAGAGACTGCAACCGGGCGGCTTAAAGGTAGTGTGCCAGCTTTCCTGGACCGTATGGAGTTAATGGCCCAGATAAGGAGAACCGGATTTTAGAACTTATCCATACCTTCAAAACTCATGGAAACGTCTTAAATTCTTCAAATTTTGAGTACCCCAGTGCGAAATTCGCCCCGACGGGTTGTCGGTCGTACCCCAACCACATTTCACATCACTATGAACAATAAATGCACACACTGAAATCGCTATTACCGATATGCTCATCCAATCAAGTTTCGATAAACCCGTTCATCATCATCTCCTGCGGTTTCGAACACGCCTGTTAGGTGGTGCGGTAGACCGCGCCCAAAGCCAGGGCCCCGCGCCGGTAACGTGAGGTAGCCGAGTCGGGGCAGCGTGCGCTGACCCAAGCCGGGGCCGCGCGTCCTCCCGGTGTCATGTGATAGCCCGGGGCTGCCCGCAGGGATGCGGTAGACCGCGCCCAAAGCTGCGGCCCCGGCTTGGGTCAGCGCACGCTGCCCCGACTCGGCTACCTCACGTTACCGGGGCCCTGGCTTTGGGCGCGGCTTCTGCTCATACTTTTTGGTGCGGTGGTGGTGCGTCGGGCCGCGCGCTCTGACTTCGGCCAAGAAAAATGCGTCAGCTGATCATTGTCATTTCTGCCACTTGCGTGTGGTGAAATGGGGTCATAACTTAAGAGACGGCTTTTTCATATCAATTATTTTACATAAAATCATATTTCAAACCATAAATAATGTTCGACAGCCAAATAAAAGAAACAATACCAATACAGGCTTACAGTTTAAGGCTCGACATTGTGTTGTCTACGATTAGACAGCTGATAACTCATTCTCGTACGTCGTAACTCTATAATGACCTTTGCTTATTGTCACATGTGCGCCGCATTCGCGATTGTTGCCGACGCCTGTTTGCAGGTGAGCCCACTACAGTTGTTATACATATCGAAAAACCGATAAACTTTTAGGCGAAAAAGGCACTATTCCAGGCCCATTTTTTATTTTTTTGCGATATTAGGTAAAAACAGAAGCTTCTTATCCTAGGAAAAATAAAATGGGAAATCTTTCAAAGGTGGCACACTACCCTTAAGCGAGCCGACCTATGCCGAATCGCGATTCTGGCGCCAAACATGGTCTCGGAAAACATATCACAGGTCAGAGATCATTTGGGAATTTTCAACAGGAAATTTCATGAAATTTTCAGGGTAGGTGTAAAATTGATCAACTTGAGGGTTAAGTCGCGATAAACTGAAAGTTAAGTCGCGATCGGCCGCTTTTTACGCGAGCTATTTGCGAAAAACCTTAGGGGTGACTGCATCAACAAAGTTGCATCCCCCTGTGCTGAGGAGAGTGAAGTCTGTACAAACTCCGGTTCATCCCAGGTAAGTCTCTGACTATCCCACAGTGCCGGGCGAGGTCGATATCACTCCCCCCCCCACACACACACACACGGAGCATGACCGGAATAATAACACAGGACTACTACGCAGAGCCCAGCTGGCAAAAAGGTGTAGCGTGGCCGGGGCCCGGCCGGCGCGAGCGAGCTCAGCCTCATGTTATTCGTGGTCGGCCAGGGAGGCCGGGCGGTACGTTCGCGCTGGTTGTGGTCGGTGCCGTGTGACGCCCAGTGCGGCCGTCCTCTGCCCAGCCTGGCGGTCTGAACTCGGCGCCGCCACCATGCGCCTGCTGCGCTGCTGTCGAGGACCGCTGCGTCAGCTGGCTACCGGCTGCCGGCCGCTGAGTGCTGCTGCTGCGCGCGCCGCCAGCACCGGGTACGTACGTACCGGCCGACCCCGGCCGCGCTCAAAGGTGTAACCCGCCGACCGGCGGGTGTGTGCGTCGCCATTGGCTGAATCGCCGCCACTCCCCCGTCTGAGCTCGTTCTGGTTGACGCTTTGTGGAGGAGGATGGCCTCTGACGGTGCGGGTCTATCCGGATCTATCCGGATCTAGCCGGCTGTGGCCGCCCAGTAGCGGATCTAGCCGGCTGTAACCACCCAGTAGCCGGTTATAACCAGTTTTAGCCACATGCGACTCGTGTTTTCACTCGGTGACCTGCAGCACGATGCTGGGTACGCAGCAATGTTTGTAGACGCTCGCTATGCCTGGAAAGGACTTCGAAGAGGCGGGTCGGAATGTCTATTTGTTTTACACCATCCAAGCCGGTTGAAACCGGACATGGGCATTGGGCAGTTCGATCTGCGTCTGGAGTTGCAAAGAAATGGACGACTGGCATGGTGCCTGTTCATTGTTCAACCCTCGGGGTCGCCTCTTTTCTTTACACAATACGGCAGGTAATGGAGCCAGGGTGACACGCATTGCGATCGCCCGCGCCCCACTGGGGGAGGGGGGGCTATTCATAGCCCCCTCCCGTTTTCTGCAATAACTTCTAAACCGCTTGACGTATCGCCGCCAAACTTTCAGTACGTTCGGCTCCATCAATTTGACACCTTGTGTCAAAATTTGAACTTCGAATCTATCATGGGTCGGCCGGAAATGACGTCAGAGTGACGTCATGTTCGGCCGATTTCGACGCAGAACATGGAAGCACGGGAATCGCTCCCAAGAGCTCAGTTTTTGAGCTAGATCAAATTTCTTTGCATGAGAGGACTAAAAATGGACTGCGCTATCAAACTGCTATCTCGAATTTTGAAAATTTTGAAAATTTTGAAAATTATTCATAGTAAAATTTAAAATTTGTATTTTTTTTCTCAAAAAACTTTTGACTTTTCGAAAAAAAAACGGAATATTTATGATAGAGCGAATGGTTATGACTTACTCTAGCAAGTTTTAGCCAGATATCTTCAAAAATGGCCAAGTTATACGCATTATAGCAAAATTTCGCAATTTTTTATTTTTCAAATCAATTTTTCTGTACGAATTTGACATCGTACACCAATACAAATAGCACCATCGTATTCCTGAGCTCAAACTGCATCCTTTAGACATGTTTTTGTTGAAAAATTTCAGCGTTGAAATTTGACCTTTTTTACCTGAAAGTGACCTGACCCCAGCTATATTCAGATGAAAATGGTCTCAAATGACACAGGCGACACCGAATTCGAAATCTATGGCCTAAATGGATCATAAAACATGTGTCACGTGACCGACTTATAACATAAGATTTTCGTGACCTATGATGACCTGACCCTGACCTGAAAATCAAAGTACAAGTTTGGTACCCTCAGGGTATCTAAAGCATCTGTTGACGAGTGTGTAAACCAAAAATCAGCCAGATTTGACTTGTAAGACGGCAGCCAGAGCCCAAAATGTGAACAAGACAAATATCGATAATTTTTATTTTGACCTGACCTGTGACGTCATCGGTAATGAAATTAGGTTTCGCCCGACAGTTTTTCCGGGGCTATCAGATGCCGTTTGAATTTTGACGATCGGCCCAGTAGTTTCGGAGTTAGGAGGGGGGCTATGAATAGCCCCCCCCCCCCAGTGGGGCGTGTTATACACAGACCCCAGTGGGGCGCGGGTTAAACTCGCTGATCAGTGGTTGCTGAAGAATCTCTCAGCGGCGCCCAGGGCTATTGACACATCCTGCCCTCCGTATGCAGGCCCAGGGCTATGAAACCGTAGGGGGGTGTTCAAAGTTCAAACGGCAGCCCCCCCAGCCCCCTCCCCCAGCAGGGCGCGGGTCTCAGAGAGCTCAGGTCGCCCTCCAAGAGCCGATGTTGATCTCTTAGGGCCCTCCGCCGGCTGGTGGCTGATGCCCTGCCCTTAGCTTTAGGAGGTCCCAACTCGGGATATTAGGGCCCTTGCTCAAGCTTCTGATGACTCAATGTCGTCATCAGAACCCAGAGGGCTATCTCCGACCTGTTAGGGCTCAAGCGGACCTCTGGAGGCCCGATACCGGTAACAGAGGGAACCACACTGGCCTCAAGGCCCCACGGCCCAGGACTCGCGAGAGCCCTGGAGTCAGCCTTTGATGGGCCCACGCCGCTCTCATGGAACCCAGGGAACATCTAGAAGCCTATGCCGGCCTTTGATGGCAGCTCGTGCCGGCCTCTAGCGGCCCACTCCACAATTTTTTTTCCAAAAAAAGAACTGACTTTTTTGGGAAAAGTTATAAAATCCAAAATTTTGAGTGTATCGAAAAAACCGGAATATGTGTCAGAGAAGTGGTCTATGTGCACATACATACCAATTTTTAGAAGAATCGGTTCAAAAATGTGGGAGTTATTAAGAATTGTATGACGTCACGACTCACAAAATTTTTGAAAAATGATTTTTTTTAAAAGTTCTGGACCTCGTACGGAAACAAAAATAGCACCATTCGATTCGCCGTGAAAAACTACATCAGATAGACACCTTTTTAGGCCTTAACAAATAACTTCAAAATTTGACCTCACTTGACCTGACCTTGACCTGACCTCGACCTGAAATTCATCCAGAGGTGGTCCATATCACTTATTGAGTGTGCCTATTGAATTCTATGAGTAAAATGACCCATAAAACATGTTTCGCACATGGCCTTTTCTATATTTTGTTTTTGGTGACTTGACCTGACCTGACCTGACCTTGACCTTGACCTCTGAATGATATTGTATGCAACAAATATTGTCTTGGTAGCCTAAGAACACGTTTTGGGCAATCAGTCTCAGTCCATGACTCCATTCTTCGGCAACTACGGTGCAAGGCCGATACTGTAGAAACTTGCAATTTGTACCCTTGACCTGACCTTGACCTTGACCTCAAACTTTAAATTAAGTACATGTTTTTAGTTGTTCGTGATGAGATCTTTCGATTGGCGTTTGAATTTTCCAAATCCGACCATTAGTTCGGGAGATAACAGGGGGGGGGGGGTAAAATTTACCCCCCCCCCCAGCCCCGCGCGCTCGGCTGGAGACCCCAGCCCCGCGCGGGTTAATTTGAACCGTCATTGCTCACGCTCTATGGGTGCCACTGCATTACTGGCTTGATTTTCGGAGCGATTGTTCATTTTTCTATTAAAATATAGTCATTTTCTGCCCCAACCCAGCCAGCAATCCCACTCCGTTCCCGATCGGGATTTTCGGACTCAGCCCGCACCATCCCGATCGGGACCGGAGTGGGACGGGATTGGGAAATGAGACACTTTGTACGGGCTGGAACGGTCCGGATATCCCAACCTACCCCGCACGGCCGATTGGGAGATCCCGCACGTATCCGGACCGCCTTATGGCGTTTTAACAAGCGCTGAACTCCGATCCCGATCGGGATTCCCCAAATCTCCCCGTACAACCGGTTCGGAAATCCCGCACGCATCCGGACCACCTTATGGCATTTTAACAAGCGATGAACTCGATCGGGATGTCCCAACTCGGCCCGCACGGCCGGTTTGGGAATACCGCAGGCATCTGACATATTAACCGCAGTCTTATAACCGCAGATTGCTGTTATGCAGATGCGACCACTTTGCTTGCGCCACCGCAACCCCCTCGCCTCTTCATTATTCTCCAACTCAACCTTTATAATGCCTGCACGACAAAATGAATTACATTGGACACTGAAATATATTCACAAATTTACTGGTTGCACACAGGTCAAATTTTCACAAATTCACAGCCTGGCCAGCACATTCGTGGCGTCGGCCATCATCTTAGCGCCGCTGCAAGGCGCTGGCACAGCGGACTCACTTCCGGTGTTCACGGTCATTATAGCAGGCCTGCGCCTTGTTCGTGTCGGCTCCTCTGCAGACAGTCTGTCCGTCTGCCGTCACGAGCTTCAGAGAGCCACCGCGAAACTAGACGGCTGGCATCTGGTCGGGCGGTTCACCACTGTGCCAAGAGAGCATCTGAAAATGACCAAGAGGTTATTAATCAAAGTCTGGGACACACTAAAAATCACTAAGAAATAACCCACATCTGACATTTCACATGGTATGCCTGGTAATTCAGGTTTCAAACCTACAATGCAACCATTAACGACACTTGACAATGAGACCAAAACATCTTCTGTCCATGATAACTGATCAAACATGCGACAGCACGAGTGTAATTCACATGCCGTACAACCACAACGAACATAACAATTTCTATTACCTATAGCTTTCCCGCTCCCTACATCACGGATGAAGTGTGCACTATACTCACCCTGTTCTCAAAGACGGACTGATTTCCCTGCAACGACAACAGTTGAACCGACCGCTTGCTAGAGCCAGTTCAAAAGCAATATCCTGAGGCAGCAGCTCAAAGGAGGGATCGACACTTGACCAACGCGGCAGCTAGACTGGCCGCTGCGCTCAGAGGACGCGTCTGCCTGCACGCGGCCCATCTGATTGCTTTTCCAGGTTTTCTGGGCCACCGGATATGGTGCCCGAAGCGCCTTCTCAGATCGGTTGGGATAACAACGTAAATCACGAGCCTGTCTAAACATGGGATTCGATTGGGCTATCCGTACCGCGTCCCAACCGATTAAGCATGCGGTCCGGAAATCCTGAGTCACCCCTACCGCCGGCCATCGAGGTCCGGTATCGATTGGGACAACCCAAGCCTACCCAACCCGGTAGGGACAAGTCGGGACATCCGGAGCCTATCCCGACCGTCCCCAACCGCATCCCGGACGAATTGCTGGCTGGGTAATTTATTTGTAGTGAGCATTTTGGCAAACCATTGCAAAAAAACGCTAATAGGGAACTCTTCCCGATTAGCGACCGGGGAGGGTCGCAAATAAGTCTATGAGTTTTTCCATATTAAAAAATGGCAAAAAATGCGACGCCTGAAAAGACGAAATATGATCTCAAAAAGGTAACCTATACTCTAAGCACTAAATCACTCGAACAG